TTTAGGTGACAATAATGGTCAACTCATAATGTGCATACCTGGTTGTGATGGAACAGGCAAATCACAACTTATTCGTGCTCTTACGAAATACTTTCTCGTTACAAAAAGAATGCAAATGATGAGGAAGCTTCCACCGACTGGAATTGCTGCTGCTGAAATAGGTGGAATGACAATTCATTCATTTTTGGGCGAACAACGCAACTCAGGAAAGCCATGAACCATTAAACCAGGTGACTCAAAACTTGAGAAACAATGGAGATCAGTCGAATATCTTTTAATTGATGAGATGAGTATGGTTGGTTTAACTCTACTAGCAAAACTCAACCGAATTATTTCAACTGCAAAGCATGTCGATCCTCAAGTTCCATTCGGTGGTGTAAGCATTATCTTCTTTGGTGATTACTTATAATATCGACCTGTATATGATGCACCATTACACACCAATTTCACATTATCATCTAAAACTAAATCGTGCAAGTTACCTACAGAAAAAGAAATTGAACAGCGTGTTGCACGATCTTTAATACTTCAAATTAATTATGTAGTAAAACTTACACAACAGATGCGAACAGAAGATTCACGATACCTTCAGCTACTCGAACGTCTTCGTCATGGACACTGTAATTATGATGACTATGAATTATTGCTGACACGAGTAGTGGGGCAACCATCAGTAGGCTCTCTCTGTGATTCGCCATGGAATAAAGTAAGTTTTCTTTTCCTTTTGATACAAATGTGTACATTTGTCTCCTTTAGACTCCAATACTTGTGTTCCGAAATAAAGTACGAACACAATTGAACAACAAAGCAGCAATTCACAATGCAACTCAATTAGGCCACGTCCCGATGGTATGCGTCGCTCAAGACATTTGTAATGGCAAACCAATTGAAGATCCTATACTTATAAAAAAATTATTGGAATTATCTGATAGCAAGACAGAGCATTTACCTGGTTTATTACCTTTTGTTCCTGGAATGCCTGTTATTTTAACACAAAACATTGCTATTGAACTTGGTCTTATTAATGGTATTAATGGAATCTTTCGACAATTAGTCTACCAGGCAGATTCTGTATCAACAGATGTTTTATTGGAAATATTTCCAAAAAATACACAATATATTCATCGACCATTATATG